GTTACTCTCATTGAGTAACGTAACGGAATACGTTACAGAATACATTTTGGGGCATGTATTCTGTAATCTGTAATTAAATACATTTTAAAAGTAACCTTCCCAACACTGTTGCCGCCACACATCCCTGACTCCATCTGAACCAAATAAGTTTATCTTGGTCTTATCAGACCACAGGTAATCCATGTTCTTAGTCTGCTTGTCTTCAGCAAAGTGTTTGCAAACGATCTTGTGCATTATCTTTAGAAGAGGCTTCCTTCTGGGACAACAGCCATTTGATGCAGTGTTTGCCGTATGGTCTGAGCACTGACAGGCTGACCTTCCATGCCTTCAATCTCTGCAGCAATGCTGTCAGCATTCACACATCTATTTTTAAAAGACAACCTCTGGATATGACGCAGAGCACGTACACTAAACTTCTTTGTTCGACCATGGCGAGGTTTGTTTTGACTGGAACCTGTCCTGTTAAACTGCCGTATGGTCTTGGCCACCGTGCTGCAGCTCAGTTTCAGGATGTTGTCAATATTCTTATAGCCTAGGCCATCTTTATGTAGAATAACAATCCTTTTTTTCAGAGCCTCAGAGAATTCTTTGGCCTGATGTGCCATGTTAGACTTCCAGTGACCATTATGAGAGAGTGTGAGAGCAATAACACCAAATTCAAGACACCTTCCGATTTGCACCTGAGACCTTGTAACTCTAACAAGTCACATGACACCAGGGAGGGAAAATGGCAAATTGAGCACAATTTAGACATTTTCACTTAGGGCTGTCATCACTTTTGTTGCCAGCGGTTTAGGCAATAATGACTGTATGTTGAGTTATTTTGAGGGGACAGCAAATTGACACTGTTGTACAAGCTGCACACTGACTACTTTACATTGTATCAAAGTGTCATATCTCCTATGAAAAGATACAATAAAATCTTTACACGGAAATGTGAGAGGGTGTACTCACTTTTGTGAGATATAGTATAATGGTCAAAAACACTTTAACATAAGCTGATGCTGACTCTCAACTCTCAGTCATGACCGATGTCATGACTGAAACATCGCTTTCACCTCTGTGTGAGCCACTTGGATATTCTTTGTCTGTCTGAAGTACTGTGACCTCTGACCTTTGTGCCGGGTGTGTGTGAGGGGTTTCCTTCCAGCAGCATTGTGTTTGCAGTGTTTTCACGTACAGCTGTGAAGTAGCTCTACACGCACTGCAGCCTGCACAGCTCTGCTCAGTGCTGCTCAGTGCTGCTCATGTGACTGCAGGGTGACTAATCACAGCAGAGCAGGGAGGAGCGGGCAGAGAGAAGCAGTGGCTGCAGACACGCCTGTTGTCTGATGAATGGGTACAACACTGAACAAACTTAAGCACTGATCTGATGCCAATACCTGTGTTGCCACCGATACTGTCGATACTTGATCAGTCCGCCCGCCCCTACAGCCCGGCGTGTCCTGAGTCTGCACTGGGGTCTCCTCCGATTAGACCTAAAACTCATCATGAGGAGGCGTCCTGTTCAGATGCTGAACCTGCCTCCTTTTTATGTGGAGGAGCAAATCTGCTCTGAGCTCCTCCTGAACTCCCGTCCCTGAAGCCCCTCTGGAAGCTCATTCCCACGCTCGTGCTCACGGGTGAGGGCAGGAACGTAGAACGAGCTGTAAATCTGCAACTTCGCCCTCAAAGCTCGACACAAATATCTGTCAATAACCCGCTCCGCTCTCCTCCGACTCGTGAAACTCATCCCAGCCTGGAGTGGACCTCCACCCTGTTCCTACTCCACCCCAGCAGAAGGTGACGTTAAAGCAGCAAGTAGCTGTTTGACAGCTCCGATCTATGGAGTGTGAAATTAGACGCTGGCGCTAAAGATCATGGGTTAATGTTTACATGTTTGATGATTCAGATGTTGTCTTCAGCTGAAGCAGAGAGATAGAAATAGTGATATAGAGAAATAGTTAGCTATTTAATATTTCAATTATTAATAAATGAGGATTTTTACGAGTTATTTTCATGTGACAGTTGGAAGCAAATTACAGAGCTGCTCGTTTACCTCTGTGTTCACAGCTGGTCATTCGGGGTCCTGCTGTGGGAGATCTTCACCCTCGGGGGGTCTCCGTACCCCGGCGTCCCTGTCGAGGAGCTCTTCAAGCTGCTGAAGGAGGGACACCGCATGGAGAAACCATCGGCGTGCCCTCAGGAGCTGTGAGTACATCATCACATCAAACGCTTCAGTCTGACACTTAAGCAGAGGAGCCGGTCATTCCTGGAAAACTCAGCAGAAGAGACAGCTTCATTAAATGCCAATATCTGAAAACATGAGACCTGGAGGATGAGCCGACTTTAAAAATCCAACATTTACGACTTTTATGCTCTAAATTCACTTGAAATTAGTCAAACAAGTATCTCCAGACAGCTGCAGCTAACAAACCTTCTGCCAAATCTGAAGGTCGCTTGTGTAGTCGCACGTGACTGCATGTAAATAAGGAAACGCAAAGTCAGAGACACAGCTGCAAACATCTGTGATCAAAAGAGGATATTTTGTTTTATTTGGTATTGTGTTCATTGATGTGTTGATCCGACCTGCGCAGTAAAG